TAACTCTAGCCTTGGAAACTGATGCATACCTATCTTGTAAGTTAAACCAAGCATCATGTGCAGTTCTGCATCCAATAACATGCTCAATTGCTTCATCAGACAAGGTAGCAAGAAGTAAACTTAACAATGCCATATCAACAGATTCCCACTCCAAGAAAGCTTCATTAATTGTTGTAGTAACCCCATTTTCCGGATGAACAACATATTTTGAATGACACACAGCAGAACCGTCAAAGTGATCAAACAACTTATACCCTTTCAAAACGGATTTAAACTGAAAAGCCCATTTAGAAAAATTTCGATCATTCAATTTAATCATCAACATCCCCAAAAATCCCTCAATTTTCACACCAGGAACAGTCATGATTTACAGATCAAAGGATTGCACAGAGATAACACCAATTGAAAACCTAAGAATTGCAGAACACCAGAGAATGGCTTCGTATTCAAGAACAACCAAAAATAGCTTCGTGCCTCAAAACAAATTTAACAAGATTCACGACTTCAGCAAGAAAAATGGCTTTGTGCCCTAACAATCCAACAAGAAAAATGGCTTTGTGCCTCAACAATTCATCAATTCAACAAGAAAATGGCTTCGTGCCCCAACAATCCATCAATTCAACAAGAAAATGTCTTCGTGCCCTAAAACTTCAACCAGAAATTCACCAAATGAAACATATCACCTGAGATTGACATGTATTCAGATCCAAAACTACAGAATCTTCAGCTTTTCATGCCCACAGCAGATCGACGACTCTGATACATATGTATCTCCAGCTATTCATAGCTATGAAAAGGAAGAAAAGGATTCGGAAGAAGAAAAGAAGAAAAGTATTTGAGAAATAGAGAGTAATCTACTGATTGTATTGAATGAATGAAATGTATATTGTTTACAATGCTTTTATAACCATCCCACACTTTTACTTACGAAACTATCCTTTCTTATCTCTAAGATTCTAACTAACCACAACCAATTACACCCATCTCCAACCATATAATTCTGACATGTCAGCTACCATTGAAATACTGCCATGTGTCACTTATCAGTGCTCCTATCTATTTCATGGGCAGTTTCAGCTGATCATGAGACCTTTGTTCATTGCCTTCTAAACCATTCCCAACCCTCTCACCCAATTGCCCCAGCAATTCACACTTCCAACAATGCTTCCTACTCATCCGTTTTGGAATCTTACATCTGAAACCTCCGATTCAACACATCTACAACCCAAAAACCCTTCCTCATCCTCACTGCATTGCATGAGTCCCACGTGTAAATATCCGTTGTTTGTGCCCAAATCCATAACTTTCAAATGAAGATTAGAAGTGGAGGCCATGATTTTGAGGGTTTATCATACGTGGCTGAATTTCCATTCTTCATCCTTTACATGTTTAATCTTCGATCCATCCACGTAGACATCAAATCCGAGACTGCATGGGTCCAGGCTGGGGCTACTCTTGGTGAACTTTACTACAGAATTGCTGAGAAAAGCAAAATCCATGGCTTTCCTGCTGGTGTTTGCCCTACAGTTGGTGTTGGAGGCCACTTCAGTGGCGGTGGATATGGTAATATGATGGGAAAGTACGGCTTGTCAGTTGACAACATAGTTGATGCACAACTTGTAAATGTGAATGGTGAACTTCTCGACCGAAAATCAATGGGAGAAGACCTTTTTTGGGCCATTACAGGAGGCGGAGGAGCCAGCTTTGGAGTTGTGATCGCGTACAAACTTAATCATGTACGTGTTCCAGAAACAGTTACTGTTTTAAAGGTTCCGAGAACCCTAGAACAAAATGCAACGGACATTGTCTATCGTTGGCAATATATCGCGGATAAGCTTGACAATGACTTGTTCATCAGGCTTATCATGGATATTGTAAATGGTACTACTTCAAATAGTAGTGGAGAAAACAATAAGACTCTTAGGGCTTCATTTATTGCCATGTTTCTCGGAGACTCTGAGAGGCTCCTCTCAATCATGGACAAGAGCTTCCCTGAATTGGGTATGAAGCAATCTGATTGCAATGAAATGAGCTGGGCTCAATCTGTGCTTTTCTGGACGAGCTTCCCAACCGGGACAGCAACTGAAGCTTTGCTTTCAAGAACACCTCAAGTGCTTACACACTTCAAGAGAAAGTCAGACTATGTCAAAAAACCAATTCCAAAAACTGGTTTGAAGTGGATTTTTTAGAAAATGATTGAGCTTGAGACACCATTGTTGACCTTCAACCCCCCACGAAGGAAAAATGAGTGAGATATCGGCGTCGGCAACTCCATATCCTCATAGAGCTGGGAATCTCTGGATGGTTCAGTATGCAACAAACTGGAACATACAAGGGCCTGAGGCATCAGATCATTATATTGATCTGACAAGAAAACTCTACATGTACTTGACTCCTTTTGTTTCCAAGAATCCAAGGAAATCCTTTTACAGCTACAAGGATCTTGACATTGGGATCAACCATAATGCTAATGGCATTGCAAGCTATTTGGAGGGGAGAGTTTTTGGCATTAAGTACTTCAAGCATAACTTTGATAGGTTGGTGAATGTGAAGACCAAGGTCGATCCTGGTAATTTCTTTAGAGCAATTCCACCCATGGAGCCCTTCCCCCTGGCAATCCACTATTCAATCCACCCTATTAAACAGTAACTGCCTTAAATGAATAGTAACTACTATTAATGAACAGTAATTGCCATTTACATCTCCACCCTTGCAACCCTCCCCCTGGCAATAAGCAATTAAAATAATAGTTTTTTTTGTTTGTTTAAATAATAAAAAACCCCTCTCTCTCTCTGACACAAAAAAAAAAAACAATTACAAAGCCCTCGGGCCACAGGCCCGTCGACTTCCCCCCCCCCTTCGCTCGGCCTCCCACCCTCACTCGGGCCCTTCCCCGCTGGAGCTGCTCCCACCGGCCCTCAGGCCCTTTCTCCTCCCCTATCGCCCGAGCAACCAACATCCGCTGGAGTTGCTCTTAGGAATGAACAAAGTATCCCACCACTTCCATACAGTCATTATTTAGCTTCTTGTTGTGCATGTTTTTTTTCTATTGCTTTGGGGTTAGTTATGTACATCTTTAATCAGCCAAAGAAATAAAAAAAGAAGAAAGATATTGCTTACAAGATTGCAATTTGTTAGTACTTAATTATTACAAGTTTCAAGAAAAATCTCTCCAAAAATTGACAAATTAGTAGGCTTTCTGGGATTTCACTTTTCTAACTCTTGTTAAAAAATTTACTTGTTTATTTAAAGACATTCCGTCATTGAAAATTTAGTAGGGACTAATTGGCTTTTTCTACTTGCTTTGATCAACATGTTGTAGCATGTCTCACATTGGTATCTTGATTAATTATACATACAACTTATATTGAACGATTCTATTACTAATTACATCATGCCCCTTTGCATAAAATTTCACACATAGTGAATGACACATGTGGTTAAGTTTGAGACAATAGAGTTATCTTCGTGTGCGTGGCCCACTAAAGAGGACATGTTAAAGCATGTCTAACATCGTAAACATGAGGGGGGGGGCACAATGTCGTTGCATGGGGATGCGATTCGCCAAGCTGAGCCAAACAAAACAGTCTGCCCACCCCCCCCCCCCCAAAAAAAAAACCACCGGATTAGGAATGCGAAGGCCTCCCCTTTTCTATCACTTTGTTTGAGAATTACATACAACTGATATTGATTAAATTACATACAATTTATATTGAATGATTCCACTATTAATTATATTGACCTTTTTTATGAGACTCATACCTTTTAAATTGCACATTTTGTTAAGAAGACAATATTAATATATGGATCATTTCTATTTTCTTCTGTCTCTTGATCTTGGGATAAATAGTATACATAGAGTAGTTTGGTTCAACTGAAGTGACACCGTGATCAATATCGATATCTAATCTACAAGGAAATATATACGCATCTAAATTGGATTCCTTTTTTTTTTTTTTTTTTTTTTTAGTTTGGTTCAACTGAAGTGACACCGTGATCAATATCGATATCTAATCTACAAGGAAATATATACGCATCTAAATTGGATCCTTTTTTTTTTTTTTTTTTTGGGGGGGTGAAAAAGAAAAATCCCAGTTGGTTGGTATGGCCTATGGTCTTTTACTCCTAAAATTTTGAATTCTCCTTGTGCCAAAAAATTTAAAAGTTGTCAGCGATGCGGGAACTGTGGCCACTTACTTATTCCCCATCCATCTCAACCCTTGCCATAGATTGAACCTCAATTATTTAACTCCCAACTCCTTTAATAATTTCGAGCCTGTGGCCCCAAACATTTACCTCTACCTGGTGAACGGGTTCACCGTTCACGTGCTAAGCCACTAATACAATGTATATGCATATTTGTTTGAAAATAATTTGTATTAGTGGTTTAAGACGTCATGACGATGATAAACTTGTTTTATGAAAGTTTCTCTCATCAATTATCTCATGTGAACCTCATTTTTTTATCAGATTTTGTCAGTGGAGACCTTGCAATTCACGTGTGTTGCTTTTATTTGTATATATTTATATGTAAATTATACAAAACTACTTCAAATATGTGTCGAACCACAATCTCATACTTAATGTTTTAAACATTACAATGTCATACCTTATCTTACGAATTCATTGCCATATCATACTTCCGTAAAATTTTATGTTAACTTTGATTGTTAAATGATGAGATGACACGTGCGGGACCTACATACTCACCCAATTGAATTAAAAAATTGATTAAATATTAATAACCATTAAAAAAAAGAAAATTAATTAAAATAGTTTGAAAACTTTAATTTTAACGATAAAAACAAAATAAATGGTAAAATGAATAGTATCAAGATTGACTTTTTACTGTAAAAATATAATTTTTCGTTAAAATAAACTGTACTGAGAACTTTAGGTTAAAGTTTATTTAAAAAAATTATTAAACAAATTGCGGGACCCACCTCCACCACCTACTTTATCCCCACTCCATACGTCCCCCTCCCTTTTTCCCTCTTTCTGTTCCAGAAACCCTCCCCCACCATTTTTCCTCTGCAATTCTCCCCCGCAGCCCCAACAACAAAACCCACCGCCATTGTCTCTTCCTTGTCCTCGGGGAAACTCTCTTCCTCACTCACTCACTCATTTCTTCTCTTCCACTCCTGCAACTCCCAATTCACTCATTACCATTCCCGTCTTCGCCACTCTCTCTTCCCCTTTAGAAAACCCGCCTCTGGCCCAAGATGGGCCCAACGGTTCTACTCGGAAGCCTATTAGCCTTTCTTCGGGAATGTACCAGTCGCCGGTGACAATTGCGTTGTGGGAAGCGAGGTTGAAGATCTTCGAGAGGTTCTTTCTGGACCCGCCCAAAGACGCGCCGTCACATAACAGGACGAAGATTCTCTACAGTGCATTTGTTGGTGTTTCAAAAACGTCGTTGATGGTGAGGAGGGAGCCTCAGCAAACTCCGGTTGGTGTTGCGAGAAATTCCTCTGATTCGGGCCGGGTTAGGTCGTTTGTTGTACCTTCTGCATGCTCAGGTCTGCAAACTCCAGTTGGTGTTGCAGATTCGGCAGATCAGACCTGAAATCGAACCGAAAAAATGGTTCGCCTCGAGCCAGGTGCACGGGTCAATGGAGGTGGAGTTCCAGGTGGTGATCTTGTTGGATGGTTAGATGGCTTTGTTTCTCTGCAAGTGAGAAACAAAGCTAGGAGGTGTGCTGAGCAATGGCGTGGTCAGAAATTATTCGACTGGTGGGCTAACCTAATATTATTAGTCCGAAATCAAAATTTAATCCTATTTTTTCTACATAAAGTTATATAATAGTAAAAACTTGAATGTAGTAATTTGAAGCAAGAAATTTATGCTATGTTTTATAGGTTTCTAGCCTTCAAACTTTCCATTGAATAAAATAAGGAACTATTTGTGGTATGAAAGTTTTAATTTATTACTATTAAATATAATATTAGTTAAAGTGATGAGTTTATTTAACATTTATTAGTTCTTATTATTCTTAAAAACAACCTTATTAATAATAAAATTTCATTTCCTAAATGAAATATGACAAATAAAAATTATAAACTAACTCAAAAATTAATATTTTTAAGCTTGAAGAACCAATTGTACTTGACTCCGCCCTTGGTGCTGAGGTTCGGCCATGGCTGCCTTTTTTCAAGTGAGAGCAGAGAGAGAGTGAGGGAGACAAGTGAGAGGGGAGAGAATAATTGAGGAACAGAGTTCTTTTATTTAATTGTTAAATAAAAATAATAATTTATTATTAATTAATTGTTTTTTTTTTCTAGTTGGAAAAGGATGGGTCCGTTCCTACTACATCATCATTTAACAGTCAATTGATAGAAAATTTAACAGAAGTTTGACATTGTAACAAATTTATAAGTTGAGGTATGACATTGCAATGTTTAAAACATGAAGTATGAAATTGTGTAGTTCGACTCATAATTGATGTAGTTTTGTGTAATTTACCTTATATTTATTTATTTATTAATTTACCATTATTGATCCAACAGTTGTGATTTAAACCATAGAACATGAAGTACAATTCCAACTGTGATTAGCACCTAATTAAAATATCGTATAAAAAATTTAAAATATATATATAAATTGAAGGAAAAAAAGAAAAAAACCCAAAAGTCCCCTTCGTCCCCATCCCTTCTTCGCACCTGAACCCATCCCCCATCAGCCATCAGCCATCCCCTTCTCCCATCCCCCATCCCCCTCTCTCTTCCTATACCCTCTCTTCCTGTACCCTCTCTTCTTACTCCCGTATTCTCTCCCCCTTTCTCCTTTTCAATTCACGATGCAACAGCAGCCAATTCTTTCTCTCTTCCTCTTTTCCTCTCTTCCTCTCTTTATACCCAGTTGTGAAGGTGCTTGTAATTTAAAGGATGTTAAGTTGCTGACTCTTTTTTTGTAGAAGCTGCTGCTTTGAGATTTGGCCTTTTCCAAGCCAAGCGTGCATGTTACTCAGGGTTGGAGCCGCAGCTAATCCACAACAATGTGAAGTCGAGTAATGTGCTGCTGGACCGCGGAGGCTAACTGAAATCAAAGAATCAGGTAGTAGTGATTGTGATTGATGACGTGCCCAAGTAGGAGGAGCCGGAGAGCTACGGATTTGCCTCTTTTGCTATCGACCTCGATGGTCACGACGGCTCCGATGGCCTCTTCGATTCGTCCCCAACGTTGGCGTCGTGGTCAACGACTACCTCTCGTTCTTTAATTTGTTCAAACATTAGAAACCACAATTTCAGGGACATCTGCAACACTATCTTCAGTTAACAAACCCCTCGGGTGGAGAAGAAAACTTGGGATGGGGTGGGTTTTTGGATGGGAGGGGAGATGAAGAGAGTGGAGGAGATGGACGTGGGTCAGGGGAATGGATTTATGGGTTCCATTTTTTTTTTTTTTAATTTTAAATAGGATAAATTATTGTAATTTTTAAATGCATAAAAAAATTCTTTTTTTACCACGTGACACACATTTAGCAATCACGTCAGCTCTTAACGGGCCAATGGATGGAAAATGTAACGGTAACGGTTGTATTATATTGAAATAAAATAGTATTTGAGGTACGAAAGTGAAATTTTTAAAGATGTTGTATAAGGTTGCAATAGATTTAAAACCGAAGGTGGTAAAGTGTAATTTACCCTTTTTTTTCCAGTTCCTTTTCACTTCATTTTCTCTGTCCGTTCAACACTATCTCGCTTGCCGCCGTCAATACAATGGCGTCCTAAGTGGGAACCTACGTCGGGTGCCTTATCGACAACCTGAGGTGGTAATATGATTTCCGGAGCACAGTTGCCGTGTTAGCCTTCTATTTGGATCGCGAGAATTTGGTATCCATTTTCTGGGAATCTAAGAGAAGGCTTCAGTGGTGAGACTTTCAAACATGAATATCTCAGTACGCTGATACTGATGGACCAATCATTTAATTGAAAAGTCGAACAAGTGGTGTGATAATGTCGGCTCATCAGGCGGTGGGTCGTCGTCGATTTTTGTCAGTAAAACAGCTAATAGAATGTCCTCTCTCTCTTTCTCAGTCTCTCTAGCTATTTCTCATTCTCTCCGTCTAAGCTTCAACTTTCTAGATTCGACGGGCGACATATTGTTGAAGGGTAGTAGCAAACCTTCCATAAATGCAGCAGCATACCCGGTTTCGCAAGTTCGAAAGATTTGAGGGGCATAATCCGGACTTTCAGTGGCGATTTCAGACGAATGAAGGGGCGGTCCCTCTGTAGCTTCGCCAATGGGTGATAGGTCTTGGCAGTCTGGAAGGTGGTGTGGTGGTTTGCGTTGGTTAAGGGTGGGGATGGGTGTGTGCTTTGGATGGTTGAATCATGGGAGGCAGATGGGAAAAGCAGGGCAATTTCGGTAGAGAAGTTTGATTCCAGATGTTGGCTTTCTTTCAGAATTCAATTACCACCTTCAAGTCAGTATTTGGATTCTGGGGATATTAGGAATCCGATTATTGATTTTGGATGGAGCCTACTAATTTTTTCATTCCCAAAATTTGGTCAATGCCAGAATCACTTGGAGAAAAATTTCATTCCCTTTCTTCTACCTCCATTCCGATTTGATAAACGCGTGGTGAAGACCATGTCATCCATTGGAGATGCCCTAACAAAATTATTTTGTTAGATGGACTATGAAACTCATGTTAAAAAAAAAAGGAAAAGAAAAAGACCAATGCTAAACAATCATGGAATCCATTTTATTTTTTCTTGAGACAAAACGAGGTCTCCAAGTCAAAGTAGACCATGCCCCAATAGGCTACAGAATTTAGATAAATTAAGCAAATCCACTCCTAGCTAATTGTACACCAGGGGCTTCCTTTACAATACATCAAATCAATAATATTACAAACATCAATGTAATTATCGAGCATGACGTGATAGACCATACTGCATGTAATTCATTGTCAAACCTTCCGTTCTCTCTCGTAGCTAAACAGGTGGGATACTTTGTTCATGCTTGAAAAAATTATGAGGATCAACCATGGTTTTCACACGTACCAGTCTATCAAAATTACCTTTAAAATACTTGCTCCCATAAATCTTCGCAATCTGAAAGTTAGTCTGATTATCCAGATTAGCCCCAATTTCTAGATCCCGGTAGTTTTGGAAGGCCTCTCTTGGGTTCTTGGAGACATATGGAGTCATCAGGTCAAACAACTTTCTTGATAATTGAAGGTACTTGCTGGCTGCCTCAACACCTTCCTCTACCCATACCGCATAGTATTGAATCAAAAATAGGTTTCCAGCTCTGTGAGGGGACGGAGTTGCCGACTCAGGAATCTCGCCCATTCTTCCACCGTAAGGGTTCCAGTCCATCCAAAAATTGTCTATCTTAATCATCTCCTTCCATAAGGATTCTATAACTCGTTTCGGAATCGGTTCGTCACATAGTCAGACTTGGCTTTGAAGAAGCTTGGTTGTCCATTTGTCCTGTTGAGAAGAGTAGTTATCGGAGTTCCAAATGGGAAATCAGCAAAGAACACTATGTTTTCAATCCAGCTCATTTCGAAACAATCTCTTCGTTGCAAACCTAATTCGGGCAAGCGCTCCTTTACCAACGGAAGAAGCTTGTTAGTTCGTCCCAAAAAAAGACCAATGAATGATACTTTCACAGTCTTCTTTCTCCCGGTGCTGTTCACTTGTAGTGGCCTTACTCTGAGGAAGAGGTCTTTAGGCAGCAGGGGTGCTGCGTATTGCCATTTATAAACGACATCTGTAGCCCCTTGCTCTAAGGTTATTGAGACGTTGAACACAGTCACTTTAGCTGGAACCGAAACCAACTTGAGCTTCCACGAGAGAATGACCCCGAAACTAGCTCCACCGCCTCCTCTAATAGCCCAGAAAAGATCTTCTCCCATTGATTTTCTATCAAGGACTCTACCATCTGCAACAACTATCTTAGCATCAATAATATTATCGATGCTAAGGCCATATTTACGCATCAAAGAGCCATACCCGCCGCCACTAAAGTGACCACCAGCACCAACAGTTGGACCAACCCCAGCAGGAAACCCTAGAACGTTGCTTTTCTCAGCAATTTTGTAATAAACTTGGCCAAGGGTAGCTCCGGACTGAACCCAAGCGGTCTTCTCCGCAACATTAACATTAATGGATTGGAGTTGAAACATGTCAAGAATGATAAAGGGTACATGGGACACGTACGATAGACCCTCGTAATCATGGCCACCACTTCGGATTCTGATTTGCAATCCTTGCTGTTTTGCACATAGAACAGTTGCTTGAACATGGTACTCGTGCTTGGCTGCTACAATGGCCAAAGGTTTTGGAGTTGTGGATGTAGAAAATCTGCGGTTTTTAATACGGTCCGACAGAACAGATTGAAACGAGGTGTTTTGAGGGGTGTAAATGCCTGCATGGATTGAGCTGGTAGACTGAGATTGTTTAGAAAGGCATTGCAGAAAGTCATCAATATTGACAAGTGGATCTGAAGTTGCCCATGAAACTGTGACGACTGAAAGGATTGAGAGAATGGCGAGTTGAAATGGAGAGCTTGGGAACTTCATTATTGTTGATTTCTGGCAGTGTGACAAAACAAACGACTTCGGAGTATTTATAAAGAAGCCAAAGCACCAAACTTTGACTCCGTTTGTGCATGGTAATTAAAATATGGGTGCTTTAGATTTAGCCCCTTACAACTGTTGAACTCTAGACATAAACCCACCTGTATTAAAACATCTAAATCAAAATCAAAATTTGAATTTGATGTCATGTAAGATAAAAGATGTCCATACATTTAAATTTATTTACAACACCATGCCACCTAGGGGTGGGTTCAAAAAACCGAAAACCAAACCGAACCGAAACCGAAAAAACCGAACCGAACGAAAAAATCGAACCGAATTGAAAAAACCGAACCGAAACGAATTCTTTTGGTTCGGTTAGGTTTTAGTGATCTAGAAACCGAACCGAACCGAATTAATTAAATTAATTTTTTTATTTAATTATTTGTTTTGGGTATTATTTTCTAAACCCAATTTGTAAGTTAAAATGTGCTAAACCCAATGTATTGCCAAACTTTAAGCTCAAAATATTTAAAAAAATGCCTATAAAAACTCTAAACCCTAACCTATTATTTCTCCCCTATATAAGGTTCCGGAACTAAACCTCCTCCTGAAGTATCTACATCCATCTCCATAGCACTGTCTACTTCTGCCCCGGCTTTCTTTTCCAAATCTACTCTCATATAACATGTAACAAAATCCATAAACATTTATTTCGGGTAGATTACTTGGGTAATTTGTGATGGAAAAGAATCCAACACACACTAAATAAATCTACACACGCATTACTTTTACTAATTAAGTTGTCAACATGCAGTTACAAGCAAACAACCCTGATCTTTGAACAACATCATACAATTTAACTTTTCTAAGTCATTTGTACGATTTTTGTGCTGTGAGGTTGTTAGTTTGGACTTTGGAATACTTGATTGATGATTTTAGTTCAACTTTAAATGTTTATTTTCATTGTCTTTGATTTTAGTAAGAATGCTTATGTTATGATTGTGTTGCATATGTTAAAATTTAAAATTTGAATGTTTTTCATTTTTTGAAAAAAACAAAACAAAAACAGAAACCGAACCGAAACCAAACAGGAAAAAACCGAACCGGAAAAAAACCGAACAAAAAAAATGAACCGAACCGAAATTTCAGTTTCGTTTCAATTTTGGCAAAAAACCAAACCGATTTAAACCGAACCCACCCCTAATGCCACCAACATTAATATGACTATTACGGTTTTTTTTTTGTAGACTTTTAATTTATTGTCTTTGTTTGTCAACAACATTCAATTAGTTCAAGTTTTTTTTGCTTTTAATTTAAAAAAATAAGGAAGTTCTTTTCTTCTTTTATGTGAAATCGCCTAATCCAAATCTAATTAGTTCAATATACATTCTATTGAAAAAGTAGATACATTAACTTGTGAATTTTTTTTTAAAAAAAAAAGGTAAAAATAAACTAGTAGATACATTGTTTTTTTGCATATATGGGTTTGTTATTATGTAGGTAAATTATTTTTCATGTATTTTACATACACTGGGTATATTATTTTTCTTTTTTTAAGCAATCTAACATTTAAAATTTTTAATAGTGGGTGCACTGTTTGAATCAAATGTTTTTTTTTTTGTAGGGAAATTATTTTGCATGAATTTTACATATATCAGGCATTTATATATGTGTGTGTGTGAGAGAGAGAGAGAGAGAGAGAGGGAAATAATTTACCTACATTAATATGTAAAATATAATTTTATTGACTTAATTAAGCATGTATAATAACATATATTAGACCTGTTTTATGTTATTATATATTAGGCAATGAATTTATAACATTATTGTTTTTTTTTTGGTAAAATCATTAATTCTCTCTTATCATCCATCTGCATGGCATTAATTATATATCAAACATTCAAATAGGGTTTATAAAAAAATAAAAATATTCAAATAGGGGTATTTTAGGCATCCGAATTTTTTTAATTTGTGAAGTCAAACATAATTAATGAATTTGCTGATATGAAATCTAGTCAATGGTTTTATTCAAGAAAAAA